AATTGACCGAAATTCCTTGGATCTCACCTGCACAATCGTACCTGGCCTCATGTGTCCTGGCCGACTGAACAGAGTTCCTTAAGAGGACCTGGATCGTGAGTGTGTGTGTGTGTGTGTGTGTGTGTGTGTCTCAAAGGGGGACTGTAGCTCTTGTCCTTTTACTTTATGTCCGCCAACACCCGTTTGTGAAAAATCCCCTGCCTCCCCCCCAATTCTTATTCCACAAGAACATCAGGTATCCTATTTATTTATTTATTTATTTATTTATTCATTTATTCATTTATTCATTTATTCATTTATTCATTCATTGGATATGTTGTGCTGAAATTGACAGAGAGTGAGATCAACAGTCTGTATCTGAGGGTGTACTTCCTGGTTTCCATGGAAAGCTGACATCAGAAAGAACGTTTTGATGACATTCTGGTTTCCATGACGACTGGGGGAGCCATTTTTAACTGTCACCAGAAACATTTAACAAGGATATTTACAGGCTGGAGAGATGGACTAACTGGAGAAACATCGAGACTAGTCAGTGTCTGCTGTCAATGTGAGTTGTGTGTGTGTGCGTGCGCGCGCGCGTGTGTGTGTGTGTGTGTGTGTGTGTGTGTGTGTGTGTGCTCTTCAGCTGGACATTAAGAGCTCTAATCCCTCCTGCTTTCAAAGAGAGAATGGCAGCCTCTCTCATTGTGGGCTAAGGTGATTGAATAACCTGGCATACCCAACCCCATTTCAGTGCCTAGGAGACACCTGTTGCGTGAGGACACTCTCACCGGAGTTCTTGAAAGCAGAGATCCCCAACTATTTCTTATTGTACACCTCTCCTTAACAATGATTGTCACAGGAACCCTTAAAGACGTAAGCTCACTCACTTACACCTACTTATAGTAAAGACTTACTAGGTGTGTGATATGAGAGAACATTTGAAGGCAGCAAAAGAGACGAATGGGTAGGGCCGGAAGATCTAAAGCAGCTTTATGTAACTGGGGGGATGATATTGTGCTCACCCTGAGTCACTGACACACAGAAATTGAGAAGCGTGTTCTCTACAAGTCCAATTTCCAGGTATCACAGTTAGGTAAATGGAATTCGAGTCAGCAAATGGCTCCTTTTTTAGTATATAAGTGTAAATACAAGTTCTCTCTCAAAGGTTCTGGGGTTTTGGGTTGTGTGTTTGGAAGTGAATGCTGCTGATGTTACAGTTTGTGTATGTTTATTGTGTTTCTAAAGAAAAGCATAGCATTTGTAGGACGTGCCACTGCATTCTTTATCAGGGACGTGCCTTCAGAAGTAGCTTCTAGGTAAAGGATAACCTTCTGACCGCCTGTGAGGGGCAGCCAGAGGGGTCTCCGGAGGATGACTGGAGGTCTGGGTGTGAGACAACTGACTGTACCTTCCTCTATGTCCCTGCTCCTCTCAGGATCGCCCCAATAATGGCCCTTCACACAACAGGGAGAGGGACATGCGATTTCCATAGGGACCAGCACCGGCATATGGCTGAACTCTCTCCTGAGAGATCGGCGTCCCAGGTCAAGGGCAGGGGTGGCCCCTCTCAGATCCTGGCACTGTGGTGGGAGCTCATCATTTTCCTCGTCCTCACTAGGAGGGGTCTCAGGTTTCATGGATCCTTCCCCTACGTCCTTGACAAACCGCGTGGAGCTGGGCAGCCCCCTTTGCTTAGATGTCTGAGCCCAAGCTCTGAAGTCCGCTCCTCCCAGCATGGGTCCTCAGGACCACACTCTCTTCCCTTGAGTTTTCCAGAACCACAAGTGCCCACTCGTCCTACCGAGGCACTCTTCTCAGTGTCGCATTGCTCCCTCTCTGCCTTTTCTAGACTCCAAATCATAGTGTCAAGCTCTCTCTGATTAAAATAATGCGAGGACCTGCCTAAGAGTCAGGTTGGTTTTCCTCTCTTGGCTTTATTTATTTTTATTTTATTTTATTTTATTTTTTTTATTGTTAGTTTCAGGTGTACAGAACATTGCAATAGTTATCCTTTTCACCCTCACAAAGTAACAGCCCCCCTCCCCCCATCTATTGCCCCCCCATCCCCGATATCATGCTTATCTATTACAATTCCATTGAATCCGTTCCCTCTCTTGGCTTTAAAGACTTGTCTTTTGCTTTAGTTTCTAGAAGTTTTCCTACGAAGTGCCTGGGCCTATCTGTGTGCATTTGTGTGTCTGCGTGTGTGTGTGTGTCTGCGTGTGTGTAAATTAGGGTCGTGGTTTGGCATATCAAATATGCCACATGAAACTTCTCCTTATCTTGGAAAATTGTTGGCTATTTTTCCTTCGCATATTCTGCAACACCCACCTGCACCCCCCATCGACTGCTATAATTGAATATCTCTCATGTGGCGAGGTATTAATACATACATTTTAATAGTACATATTACCCTTGATTTAATAAAACACACCTCAAAGGTATTTCACACAGTTTAAATATATTCCCATTGAATGCTATGCAATGGTCCTTGCTTTCTTTTTGTTCATGGATTTCTAATATTTCACGTGCTATCCCCATAGAACCTTTATAAGGTAAGACGGTGGTGTGTACGTTCATGTAAATGCATCCTCCCTGTAATATTTTACAACATGATTTAAAACATAATGTCCACCCACTTCCACCCTTCTTCTCTTCTCTTTTCCATGGAACCGTGCCATGACATTTCCATTTATCACTGTGGACTTTTTGCTTGTGTTGGCTTGTCTTTCATGTCCTAAGATAAAGTGGACAGCATCGCTCTCCATGTTAATATGTGTTTTACAGAAAGCGTGTAATTTGTACTCCATTAGTCTGTAGTCAGAGCGTTGTCTGAAGATTTTGATGTGAGTACACGAAGGTCTGCAGCAGACATTGTGCTGCATACATAACCTGGCCTTGTTGGCTTAGGCTACAGATTTGTTACTTTCCCCATGGGGTAGCAAGCATCTGGGGTACGTCCAATTTGTTGAGATGAGCTACAATGCAATGACTTATCCAGAGAACAAGGGCACCTTTTTCTCCTTGTGCACGACACAGGGAAATTCATAGGATCCAAAACACACGTTTGCTGTCCTGGGCATTACCAGTTATGGACCTCTCCCCTGCAGTAATGAGGAGGCTGCCCCTGAGCTGCTATCCCTAATGCTGGGTGTGGTTTTCTTAGTGGGATAGCAAATACCGGTGAGCTCCCTGTGGCAGGTAATAGAGAGTGGAGGGTTACCAGAGCATCTTTGAAGCAAAGTGGGCCTCACTGGATGAGAGGAACCACCTGAGTTTGCAAAAGCAATGGGAGACAATGCAGTCTAGCCTCAAAATAAGGCACTCATGAGGAACTCTGGCCTTTGTGCAGTTGTTTGCTCAAGTGCCCATGCTTCTCCTTCTGAGTAGATGGCTCGAGAAGGTGAGTTCCTGTGAGAGGAGGTGCTGGGGCTGCCTGTCAGTCAAGGGAAAATTGGGAGGCAGAGCTTGATAATCGGAAGGTGTATGTGTATGTAGAGTCACAGCTGATCATTTCCAGGGGGGAAACAAGTCCAATTGTCTTTTTCCTTAGGGAAAACTGAGGGCAGTTTATGATTGTTCACTTTGTAATATTTGCCATTTAAATATTAGGTGCAAAACCAACCCAGGTCTCCAGGTAGGGGTGACCTTTCTGTATTTATGAAACCAGGGAACAACAGAAGAAAAAAGTTGGAAGTTATCGATCCTCATTCATTCTACAGATGGAATTTAAGCACAATGAAATCCTAAAAGCTTAAAAAAAAACCAAACTGTGTGAAGTTTTACACTGAATTCATCTGGCAATGGAGAGGTGTAAAAATAGGCAAGAGTGTATTTTCTTCACAACAGAAATTTTATAAACTGTGCCTTTATAATAACAATGGGAGATGCCAGTCATCCTTGTAAGGAAATCCATGTTTTTAGGGACAGTTAAATGACAAAACCTACAGTTTAAGAGAAGCTCCACTAAACAGCTAGTAATTGTTGGGAGGGGGTCTTTGGGGTGAAGAAGAGAGATTTTCTCCCTGAGGGGAGTGGTGGTGGTGGGGGGGCTGCTCTCAAGAAAAGTGCCCTCATTTGGAGATAACACCTTCAGAGCATCGTTTTCTTTCCTTTTCTCTTCAGAAGTGATTAGAGCCGTCACTGGGAAAAGGAATGAAAGAATAGAGCTTCCAAAACAATTCTTCCAAAAATCGTGGTTGTTGATCGGGAAATCAAAGCTCTATGTCATCAAGTTCTTTGATTGCTCGACCAAAGAGCAGATGCAACAGAACTAAAGTTATTAACCAGGGCATGAAAATCGAAGCTAGTCCATTTGAGGACTTTATTTCCTGATGGTTGGAAATTGACTGTGAAGTTGGAGAGTGTGGGGGTGCTTTTTAGCCTGTCTTCCTACTGTTTTCTTCTGTGTATTCTCTCTCTGCACACAGGTTTGATTTTATTGTCAACTAAAACATTGGGAGTGTTTTCACACCCAGGCCCTCTTGAGAATTTGGGGGTTACTTTAAAAGTTAGTTTTGTGTGGTTCAGGGTTTTGGTTTTAACATATTGTTCTTGGTTTGCAAAAACGGATTGACATATACATATCATTCTATCTGTCTAGCATCTATCTTTTATCTATCTATCTATCTATCTATCTATCTATCATCTATCATCAATATATTCATCATCTATTTATCAACTATCTATCTATCTATCTACATCTATCTATCTACATTTATTATCTATCATCTATCTGTCTATCATCTATTTATTATCTATCATCTATCTATTAAATATCTATCTATTATGTATCTATCATATATATGTATCTATCTATCATCTATCTATTATCTCTTAGCTATCTATCATCTATCTATCTATTATTTATCCACCCACCCATTCAACCAACCATCCATCCCTCCCTCCATCATCTATCTATCCATCCACCTACCTCTTCACATCTTTAGATTGGGAAAAGAGAGATGCACTCTTGGTAGTACAAAATATGAAAAGAAAATCATCTGTAAGATTATGTACCAACTCTTACTGGAAGACATTTGGACCATGGACCAAAGCAAACAATGAGTGTTCTCATTCAACACCCATCCCTTCTGACTCTCTCTCCTGAAGAAGCATTACAGCCTTGGTGACAGGAAAAATAACTGTTGTTGATATTTTGGTTGTCTGTCAAAAGCGGTCCATTAAAGTGATTGATACATAAAAAAATGTACCCAAATGTGAATAAGTGAGAATATTCAAAGTGGTTGTACAATTTTAAAAACCTTTTAAAATATTTTATAGAATACATGTATAAACAATAAAAATTCTAGAGTCCATGGGACTCATATTTGCAGTAAGCATTCCTAGGTGTTAGATTAGATTACTGTTGCTTAATATGTTTCCTACTTTTTAGTTTGAAGCATCATTTTTAGCATGTCCATGTGTGTTTTTAAATTAAGGAACTAAGGAGCTGAAAATAGCATCTATACTGGAAGCAGAAACATGTGCATGTGCGTGTAGAGTCAGGAAGCATGAATTATATGCATCAGTATCAGGCACCTGTGTCTCTAATGTCTCCCTGAGTGTGGGTGAGTGAGTGTGTGAGTGTGTGAGTGAGTGAGTGTGTGTGTTTGTATGTGTGTGTGATTAAGTGTGTGTGTGAGTGTGTGTGTGTGTGAGTGTCTGTGTGTGAGTGTTGTGTGTGAATATGAGTGTGTGAGTGTGTGAGTGTGTGTGAGTGGGTCTGTGAGTGAGTGAGTGTGTGTGTGTGTGTGTGTGAGTGGGTGTGGGTGTGGGTGTGAGCAGTTCTCTGGTTGGCTGTGAGTTACTCAGTCTCCTGTTTTGTGTGACGGGCTGGCAGGTCCTCCTGCAGGGAGACTGCAGTGACTGAGTCACCTGGTTTTCCTCCTCCCTTTTGTTCTGTGTTCTCATGTGACACCTGCGCTCTGAGAGCCCGTACACTGAGTTCTCTTAAGGCAGAGGACCTTGAACCTGTGTAATCATTCACCATGGTCCAAGACAAACGTGGTGCAGATTATGCCCAAAGTATGTACATTTAGTCATGGTATAGTTCATGTTCTATTGATGAGTATTTGTGAACAAAGTCATACGTGCAGGCGCCTATTGCAGAAATAATGTCATCTTATGAAGCACATCATTGAAGACTGAAAATGGATGAGCTAAAATCTGGAAGTGAATTATAATGCACATCTATCTGTACACCATGTACAGAAAAGTAGAACCTATGAACAGGGTATTTCTGGGTGGGTTAGGGGAAGTGAGAGAAATTGCATCCTCTGCATTCCAGCTACCTAAATGTTTGAAATTTACTTTAAGTTTTTAAACCTCGGAAAACCCACATTATCAAGAGATTCAGAAAAATGGGTGAAAAATACGCATTCACATGAAGAGGATATCAACGATGCTCTCATGGGAAGAAACGCAGTCCTGGGTCGTATGTAGAGGTACATGCATATGAATGCAGAGGAAATGTGTGGGAAGCCCCATTCCCCATCATGTTG